TCCTACCGTTTCCTCCACGACATCAACAAGTACTGCCAGAGCAGCTGGCAAACTGACCTGAGGCTCGACAGGGTCCTTGAATTCGGCAGTCTGCGGCAATTGCTCAACTTCGGTCATCTTTTAGGCTTTGGGTTTGTAGGGGAAGTACAGCTGGCGGAACTCCTTGCCGGGCTGGCTTTTATCCGGGTGCTGGCCTCTGTAACTTTTTGGTGTTGACCCTCGAGGCCGGCAAACAGGCGAGAAGAACAGCAATCACACAATTGAGGAAAGAGAGAGAGAGAGAGAGAGAGAGAGAGAGAGAGAGAGAGAGAGCGAGCGAGAGCTAGAACGAGTGAAAGAAGAAAACTAACTGAAAAACCTCCTCAAGTGGGGTGGGGCTCCCAGATGTTATGACTAGCGAGCCACAGTACCCCAGCTCTTTGAGCGTTATGAGTGCCGGTATTAGGTGCAACAGGAGGTGGACACACTCAAAATGCCGGAAAGTATGAGAAGTGAGAGATCCCAGAAGGCAAAGGTTTGCTGGGGACTAGAGTAGCGTCCAGGGGTTGTACCTCGATGTGTCTGGAGGTTGGTTTTGGACGCGGTTTTGAGGTGAGTTAGGCTTGGGCCTAGGCAGGATTAGGCTTAGGTTTTGGAAGCGGCTTAGGGTTCACGCTTAAGTTCAGGCTTAGCCATAGGCTTAGGCTTAGGTTTGGGTTTAGGTTAGGCCTATGCTTCGGTATAGGTTTGAGTATAGGTATAGGTTTAGGCTTAGGTTTAGGCTTAGGAAACTTAGACAACTCTAAAGGCTGAGCTTTCTGTGCCTTTTGGGGTGAGGAAGTGGATTAGTTTCAAAATTTAAAGCATACACAATTCTGCTACCAAGGTCTGCAAAACCGCCAGCAAATGAAAATCCCAACAAAGTCGTTCCAAGACGTCTGTCTGGCCCCATGAGAGAGTGTAGTGTTCGTTGGAATATCAACACTGAGTTGAGAGTTTAGCCCCCCTCGAGGCTCACAGTGACGCACCAGGAAAATTCTGACTTGAAGCGACAAGTACTCGACAAAAAGCTGCAAAATTGTCCCCTAGCAAACGCGCAGCTGCAAGTTCCAGTCTTAAAAAGCTTTCGAAATAGTGATGGGTTTGGGAAACCTGGTCTCGAGATTTTCCCAGGATGTGATGTACGGTTTTGGGTGCAAATAAGTAATTATTGGCAAGGACTAAGCCAGGTAAGCCTAAGCCTAAGCCGAAGCATAAGCCTAAGCAAAGCCTAATCCGCCTATACTTAAGCAAAACCTAACTCTAAGCCTAATCGGCCTAAGCGAAGCAAAACTAAGCTTAAGCAAAGCCTAAGCCAAGGCCTAATCCGCCTAGGTCGAGATTCACCTAAGCCTAACCTAAGCCCAAGCCCAAGCCTAAGCCTAAGCCTAAGCCTAAGCATAAGCAAAGCCTAAGACTAAGCCTAAACCTATGCCTAAGCCCAAGGCTTAAGCCTAAGCGAAGCCTAAGCCTAAGCCCAAGCCGAAGCCGAAGCCGAAGCCCAGCCTAAGCCCAAGCATAAGCAAAGCCTAAGCCCAAGCCGAAACCGAAGCCCAGCCCAAGCCTATGCCTAAGCCTCAGCTTAAGCCTAAGCCCAAGCCCATCGAAATCGAACCAATGACATCTTTACCATCCCACGCTCCACCGATTTCAAATCGAGCACTTTTTCTGGGGCGTCCCAGGCAACACTCGAGACATAAAACACCACACACACCGACACAAGTTTGCTACTTCTTCAAAGAACCTCGCCGCTACGTGTCCCACCCGAAAAGCTCTCGAGGAACGCACCAAAAAGCCGGGCCGCAGAAAAACACGAAACCCATCTTCGGAACTCTTGTGAATGGCTCTCATCTGGTCGGCTAGTGATCGGTAGGGCGTGAACACTCTTGAAAGGTTTCCAAAAGTTGTGTCGGGGAATGTGTTGAGGTGTGGAACACTTGTAGCGGCTACACAGAGATCTTGTTAGGGGTGTGGAGGGTGATTTTGGGGGGAATGGAAGGGCTCTACGTCGCTTAGAAGACTTGATTAATTTCTGGTAAATGCTTTCGAAGAAAAGCAAAAAAGGAGGAAGCCGATAATAGGATACTTTTACAATTTTCAGAAGCGTGAGTCTACTTTAAGCTGAAATTTAACTAATTATGGCGTAATATAGCAAAGTTTAACCTGATTCTAGACCTATTGAGCGTATTTTTAGCTAAAGTCAGCAAAATGTCGAGAATTTACAGGATTACGCATGTTGTGCAAATTTTAAGCCGAAGTATCTTAAGCTTATGCACGCTGAAGCTATTTGAAAAACATGGCCCAAATCATTTTTAGTAGCCGATATGCTTGCCACTTTTATGACATAATACAGATTTGAATTAATTAAAAAATCAAGCGAAATTATTTAGCGAGATTAGCAGGTTTTGAGATTCAGCGTTGGCAATTTTGAACTTTCGCTGTTTTGCTTGTTATACGAAAATTAAATTTAACATCTCGAATTTCAGCGCGTTTTAAGCAATTTTCAAGTCACAAAAATAATTTAATTTGATACGTTGAGTCCGGTTTGCAGCCTTTATAAGTTTTTTGCTATCTCAAGCGCCCCCCGGACCCCAAGGTATGGGTAACAAACTACTAGTTCATAGACAAAACTACTACAAGCTAAAAAAGTGATACCACTGTCCACACTGGTTGAACTTGTAGCATGTGGTTGTTTGCCAACGGACCTCCTTGGCTTTAGACCCACCGGCCTAGTCAGACGGATCTAGGGGGAGATAGTCTCGAGTAGTAGTGGCGCCCGTATCTGTGTCCCTGGTATTTGGTTTGTTGTTGGCCCCCTCAAGAGATCACTAGCCGCTTTTTCCTGGTGATATGGTGGCGATATGTGGATTCGGTGGAGATCCCCGGGTGGAGGTGATCTCTGATGGGATTACCGGGATAGATTTAGAGTTAAAAATAAGTGTGAGGTGAGGTGGTGATGTTCGCTGCGGCCAATCCGATCATACAACAGATGGAAAAGATCAAAATATCAAATCTGCAAGGCGCGCACGATATATAGGCGTGTAAAGTAACGCCGCGTAGAGCTTAGCTCTAATTACGCGCGCTTTCTCTAGACGCACGTACCCAGTGCGCGGGACAAATAGCACGCACAAAACCTGATTGGGAACCGTGGCACGACATCTAGGTGCTAAGAGCAGTACAGCGTGCGTGCCAGCGTAGACTACGCGGGCTTCCTCTAGTCGTACTGCCCTTGTGCTAGCAATTGGTTGCAGTGGTAGGCGCAGTAAAACGTAGGCGGCGCGAGACTTCTCGAGCCGTGCAGACCTTGTGCGCACACCCTATAGGGCAAGGAAACTCGCAAAAACAAATTTGCAATGAGCGCACAGTATCTTAGCGTTAAAAGTAACTGTCTGTAAGGAGAGTATTACATCGAGGCGTTGACAGTAACACATCGTAGCTACCTACCACTTCTCTAGACGTACGTCTTAGGTCTTTCGTCTCGTCTAAAGCTCTTGTGCGTTGTCAACTGGTACTCTATTGCTCAGCAAAAAATATTACGATAGTATCATTTGTTAGTTTTTATTAATCTGGCAAATACATGAGGTTTGTTTTGAAAATCACAGAAAAAGTATGAGTGTAGTAAGAGTGTAGTAAAGAGACTACGCGCGAGCCGTCAAGCTCTGGCACACGCAATAGCCGCTAGAGTATTCCAGAATCCCCACTTTTTTCGACATCTAAATACCCCCTCGACCGATCGCTGTCAAAAAAGCGTGGGAAAATAAATAGAAAATTGACGCGTCGCGCGCGGAGCCCGACGACCCGCCAAGTCGCCACCTCGTGATCCCGATCAAATAATGGAGTGGATAAGCAATAGGAGGGGGGTGAGGGCTAAAATTAGCGGACTTCGCGGGGCGCTATTGCAGAAATCACGGTCGTTGCAGAAGCATTAGTAGTATCTAGGATTGTATAGGTTATTAAAGGAGTGATAAGCGTGAGAATCAGCTCCTTGTATGCACTGGGCTTAGACGGCTCCTTGAAACGACAAAATGAACATGTAAGCTTCTTTGAAATTGATTAGAGTCAGAATTTTCCTTTGACGCAGCTGTCTAGACCTAGTCAGAGGGAGGGCTAGTCTTGGCGCTTCCTAGTTCCTTTAAGGCAATAGTACGGGGACTTACCTCTTTACAGGTGCTGATCCATCTTGAAAGGGGTAGCATTGTCGGTTGACGATATTTGTCAAGTTTGTTGGATTGATCTGGGAGTTGGTCAGTTTAATATCTTCTCTCTCATCTCTCACTATCTCTCTCGCTCTCTCACCCTTATCTCTCGCTTGCTCTCTCTGTCTCTCTCCCCTTTCTCTCTCTCCCTCACCTGAAGTTGTGTCGCGAAGAAACAATCACTCTTATACGTGCCATAGTTGGTCCCCGGCGCCATGTTGTCGATAATTTTAACGCAGAACTAAAAAAAATTTAAAGTTGACTTTAAGTATCGTAGCCGTATTTGGTCATTTCTAATTGTGATATTTAAGGTAAGCTTTTTTCGACCTCCATTCACCCCTTCTGGACGGAAAACTCAAAAATCGCACCGCCCCGAACTTGGATGCGCTAAATATTGGATGGTGCGCGCGGAGAGTTGCCTAGCAAAACCAGACTCCGCGGCAAAACATGCACAGAATTGAACTGACGCGATTTGGGGTGAATAATTTTGAGGAAGATGATGATAGAAACCATCTTAACCAGGTGTAATAAATCCCAGAACCTACCTGAGTACTCTGGCATTGATTATTTCTGTTGTCACATGTACTGGCGGTGGAGTAGCGTAGCGGATACAACCCATCCCAGCCGTTGCACTGTTGGCAAAGAACGGCAAGGGTTTCTGAAGGGATTAGAGGTATGGGTAAGTTAATAACTGATCGGTGTAGGAGTATCCTTGACTTCACCTGAAGGTTGGAAACGCATTGCAAACGTACCAGAATACCAGAAATACATGTGCACTTTGCACGCAAAAATACCCAATCAAGGTGGCTTCGTGAATTTATAACGCAGAAAAAGAGGTTTTTAGTTTTTGTGGAGCTACAGCTAGAATTTAGTTACAGTTAATGATTTTTAATGAAGTTTCGAGCCAAACTTAAGTATTTTAAAGAAAAAGGCTAGTTTTTCAAGCTTTTTTGTGAAAATTAAAAATAGTGTTTTTAGATATTCGTATTATTATTACGGCTATTTATATGCAGTTGATCATTTTTAATAGTACGAAATTTTAATAGTACTGGCGCTATTTTCATAGCTTGAAACGTTCCAAATTTGATGTAATACGCCTTAAAATCGATAACTGATAGCTTACGTTATGATACCCTACCCACCTCGTATCGCCGTTCCGAAAATCAGCAAAAAGAATAGTACAACGTTCGCCATTAGTCTGGAATTGCGGGACAGGGTAGGACAAAACTGGGCGAGGCGACGCCGGTCGGCCCGGAATTCGGGATGCTGCTAGGAGACGTCGGTTGTGAAAGGAATTGCGAACCCGAAAGGCATGCCGAAAACAGCACAATGTCCACAAATACTAAGGTGAAAAACCAAAATTATTGTATTGAGGTGGTGAAATGGAAGTGATTAGGTGTATATGGTAGTTGCATAGTAGGTGCTTTCCCTCTTATCGGGGGAACTAAAATTCTGCAGGTTTTTCTGCAGCCTGAGTAGCTTTTGATAGCTCAACAGTTCCAAAAATTAAAAATTAGCCTTTTTCGCCTTTCAAGCGAAAAAATTGCTACTTTTCAAATTCGACCATTTTTTACAAATTTTTATATCTAACGTAGGGAAAAATGCTGTTTTAAAAGACGCTCAAAAACTGCATGGAAAATGTTAGTTTATCCTCCGTTAATGCATCAGAATCGTAATTAGGTGTATCTGGTGGCTTGGATTTTTCATTGTCTAGCTTGCTTTTCAAATTTTCGGTATCTTTATTTATAGAAAATCAAAAGTTCATTATTATTTTTTTGTTGGGCCTCAAGCGTCAAATACTTGATGGAAAAACGGCGCACAACACCGAGGGCGAACAGCACGGCGGTTAGGACGAAGCCCCTAAAATTTATGTTTTCAAGAAATTACAGAAAGGCAGTTTACCTCAAATATTCTACAGGTGACAGAGGTGTCCATAAGTCAGTCGGTACTCGCAATCAAGAAGACGCCAATCGAGACCGGAAGCAGGGCTTTTCCCTCGTCCAAAACAAGCCCGATGGTTCCGTCGAGTTTATGGAAGGTGTAGGCTAAAATCTAGCGAGTTTTAATTGCGTTTTAAGGTTGCTAAAGTGCCCTTAACTTGAGTATACCTTAAAGACTTTAAACCTTAAAGTTTACCGTATTAAAACTATAAAACATACCCCAAAACAGCATGAAAAGCCCGCCGACAATCACCGAGAATTGATCAATAGCTTCCAGATGTCAGGAATTCGGGAAGAACGGCGAAGTAAAGCTGGCGGGGAGACGTATGAGGGCAGTATAACCACCAGCCTGAGGTTGTGCTGAAAATACGCTTACAATGCGATTGTACGAATTGATTGTATTTAATATTATTCATTATTTTTATTTAATTGTGCATTTTATTAAATTAATGATTTAATTTTGGTAAACCTCGCTATTTTCATTCCTTTAACCACCTCAAACTGTAGTAAACCGAAAACAAGCATCGACGCATCCAAAGCTCACTTTTAGCGCGTACATCATTACGAATTTGATTTAGCTGAAAATTTGTACATAAACCGGCGTATTAAATGACTATCACTTAAAGATTATAAATAAAGGGTTTATAAACCTCAAAAATAACAACAATAAAAAGATTTCCCGACCGCCGAGGATCTGACCACAAAGTGCAGGAGCGAGATCGTTATCAGGCAGAGCAGCGAGAGGAAGGCTTTGAGGTTGAGTTAATAGGATCAGAAACTACAGAAACGACAATGATTTCAGGCATGCAAAAGTAACGAAAATGAGGGATTACGATCTTTTAGAAACCACGGACCAGAGCCAGAAGCCCTTGGCATTCCAACCCTTTAAAAGATCAAATTGGGTAAAAACAAGTTTTTCAGCTTTAAATGAGGTTTTTTTAGCACCCGATTCCCGCTCTCCGTACAGTTTTGTATTTGTTGACGTGCCTATACAGCTTTTTCGAGAAGCTGAAGCATTCGCGTATTTCGAGGAAGCTAGGAACCAAACTCTTGGATGCCTTGCCTGTCACACAGCCCTTAAAATCTAAAATTGATGTGAAACGTCAAACGAGACCGCGTTGCTTCCAGTTACGCTTTCGTACAATTTTATGGTCTCAAATCCTGAAACAGAAAAATATGAAGGCGTAAAGTGGAAGCTAAACGGTAGTCAAACTAGACGTCAAACGGGTACGGTAGCTTCGAACGCCGCGAAAATACAAAAATTCGAATGGCTTCTATGCGCCCTGGCGCAAGGAGTACAGAACCGTAGCAAATCCCGGATCGATACTTTCCGAAATTGACGGGATCGAACTCGAGACTGTACGACCTAGTTCATCCAGGACCGTGGAGGGTGCAATTTGGGTGTCCTTGGCCTGGCCTGAGCGACTCCCTATTCTCTATCCGAGTGACCGTAACCCTGCTTTGCCCCTGTTGACATGCCGTGCATTGCATTGCGTGAATGCCGTGGCCCACCTTTGCCAGCTGGGTGTCGGTAGCGGCGCATATTAGAATTTTTAATTATGACAATTCAAAGTCTAAAATAGTCTTTTTACGTGAACGGTATGCTCCGATACCTTAAATTCGTATTTACGGTGTATTATCACGTAGTTTAACGTAATCTGATTATTATACAAAGGTAAAGAAAAAAAACCGAAATCGCGCAACGCGTGCACGATTTACCGATTACCCTTTGTAGCTGTAAATAATTAGAAAACTGTCTCACCGATTAAAATTTGATTCCTAACCATTTCATTTTTTTCTCGTCAGAAAATTACATCCGTAAAACTTATTCTTGGATGTGCATAGTACGAAACGCAATCGGAACGTTTATTGAGTCATAGTATTGTTACGTACTATAGTATAGCCTCGTTGTTTTCATCGCCCTAATTGATTCGCCCTTTTCAGAAATCTGCTTACTTTCCATTATTTTTATTATTTCTTTTTTGTTTGGGCGTAATTAATTTGCATCATCCGCTTTTCAGGTAATGGAGTACTTTCAAAAAGTACGCAGCACCGTCTAAAAGCTGTGGAGCAGGTTTGAGGCGTTCCTTTCATTACCATCGTTTAAGGTCGGCAATGTGGTTGCCGGAAACCCAACGCTGCGGCCACCGAACCAGGCGACCTCGTCGGATCAGCCGGCCCCGCTCATTTATCTGGAAAATCTACAAGACAAGAAGCGATCAGACAGCCAGAATGTGGCCGTGTGGGTGTTTGAGCGAAAACAGGTAAGAAAAACATATTTGTCAGGTTATAAATTTTCAGGTGGAAGCTTCTCCAAAGATGAGCAGACACAGAGTTATCGAGCTTTTGAAACGAGGTGTTTCCCAGCTCACAAGAGTCCGGCATCCACGCGTTTTGGTTGTTGAACATCCGTTAGAAGAGGACAGGTTCGTTTTACTTTTAAGTAAAGCAATTTCGATATACAAAAGTTATAATGTAAAGTATACGAAATAACAACCATCTTTTGTTCAGGGAATCTTTCATTTTCTGCACGGAACCAGTGATCGGCAGCCTTGCCAACGTCCTCGGCCACACCGACGGCCTACCCCAACCCGCCTCCATCCACCACAAAACCACAAGCTCCACGATATCCAAATTAGGATAGGGCTAAAACAGGTTTGATCCCGGAGAATCCAAGCTTGTTGAAGACTTCTTGAATTTTAGGTAGCAGAAGCGCTCTCCTTCCTCCACGTTGACGCCAAAATGATGCACCGGAATGTCAGCCCGGCGTCGATTATCCTAAACGAAAAAGGGGATTTCAAGCTCGCTGGGTTTGATTTCGCGATGACGGCGTCGACGACTGACACGAATGGGGTTGGTGTTATTCTTACTGTTAGAGATTCTGAAAAAAGAAACTAATTTTCTCTTTCTAATTTTAATTTTCGCTAGTTCTCCAGATTTTTTCGAAGCGATTCGATAGAGTATCAAAATCCACAGCCTAAAATAATGGAATATTAAAAACTTATAATAAAACATATAGTGGTACTATCATTTTTTCCAGATATCCTGCGATAGCTCCGATATAAACAGCGGCGCGCCATCAGCAGCTGATCCCGGCCATCGACTTTTTGGCCCCGGGGTTGATTTAACGAGCCATAGGTGGGATAATCGATAATATTAGTAATTTTAGGCCCTTTTAGGTAATAAAAGTGTCAAATCAATGCTTTTTTTCAGGGAGAACCCGCTTCCGACGTCTATTCCCTCGCCATCGCCGCCTACTCGATATTTAACGAGGGAAAGGGCCCGATACAGGCTAGAAACTCGATTGGAGACGCTGAGACAGGGGCTAGAAAGGTATTTTATGACGAAAAACACAAAATTTATCATAGCTCAAAACGTACCACCAGAATGGGCCCTAAGCATGCCGGAGACCTTTCGTGGGGATTTCAAGTTGTGCCTGAACAAATCGACAGCAATTAGACCGGATGCGGCTCAATTTACAAAGGTTTATTCGATTTAAAAACGATTGTACTAACTTACTAACGTTTATTACAATACCAGATGGTTACAGTCGCTTGGGCTACTGCCCCCACTGGCTCGACACCCCTAAGTCCCACCTTACCAACATCCCTTCCTCATGCCTTACCGAGATACTCCTCCATAGCCGAAATCCCCTTCAAAAACTACCAAAATACCTTCCTGATGGCATCAGATACTCCCCCATGGCTGAAATCCCTTCCAAAACTACCTAAATACCTTCCTGAGTGGCTTCAGATCACACCCCCATGGCTGAAATCCCCTTCAAAAATTACCTAAATACCTTCCTGATGGCTTCCAGATACCCCCCATAGCTGAAATCCTCAAAACCCACCAAAAATACCCTTCCCTGATGGCTTCAGATACCCCCATGGCTGAAATCCCCTTCAAAACTACCTAAATACCTTCCTGATGGCTTCAGATACCCCCCATGGCTGAAATCCCCTTCAAAACTACCTAAATACCTTCCCTGATGGCTTCAGATACCCCCCATGGCTGAAATCCCCTTCAAAACTACCTAAATACCTTCCTGATGGCTTCAGATACCCCCCATGGCTGAAATCCCCTTCAAAAACTACCTAAATACCTTCCTGATGGCTTCAGATACCCCCATGGCTGAAATCCTTCAAAAACTACCTAAATACCTTCCTGATGGCTTCAGATACCCCCCATGGCTGAAACCCTTCAAAAACTACCTAAATACCTTCCTGATGGCTTCAGATACCCCCCATGGCTGAA